TGACTTGCCTGGTGGTAGTATCTTCGCCGAAGGTGACCATGAGCTCCATGTATCCCCATGGCTTAAAGGCCGAGCCATTGAAGCCCTGTAGGTCAGACCCCATGTATGGTGAAAGGTGAGAGTCGTCAAGCTGCAGGGTTCTGAAAAGTTGGCTGTACATCACATCGACAAAACTTCCTTCGTCAACCAGGACGTGATGCACATCAAAGTTAGCCATCCTCGCCCTGATCAGAAGAGGGATGGCTGAATTGGGGCCCTTCGGGCAATTCCTCGAGGTAAAAGGTGATTGGCTCTGATCTTCCCTTAACCATCTCGAAGGTCACCGTTTGCGGGGGGCCGCGTCGACCAGCTCGTCCAACTTCCTCTTTGCTGAATTTATCCCTCCACCATTTATGACTATGGTGGAGAGGAAGGTTTCCCACCTGTTGTGCATGGACAGAGGATCCTCCATATGTTCGGGGACGTAGAAGTCCTCCGGTCTCGTAACGGAGAATACAATATGGATGAGAACCGACTTGTCAGATGGTCGGGCATCCTCCTCTATCTCCCTTGTTTCACGGGCATCTCGGCGGGGGGCGTTGCTGCACCGATATTGCCCGAGTCTTCCCCCTTTTATGAGGGTCTCGATAGCATCCTTGAGATGGACACAATCTTCAGTCAAGTGTCCATGGCTTTCGTGATACTGGCAGTATTTGCTTCGATTTACCCCGGGTTTAGCAGGAGCGGGGCGAGGACAGTTGACGCCACCGTCCTTGAAATCTGTGTTTGCACACTCCGCCAAAATACGCTTGTGGGAAGCCGTTTGCAGAGTGTACTTAGTAAAAATCCCCGAGGGTCCTCTTTGCTCACGAGGGTCTCGGGGTTTGTTGTCCTTTCTCTTCTCGCCAGTTCGTCGAGGAGGTCCGGAGTCTTATCGCGAGTTGTTGGTTGATCCGCGATTCCTGGGGTCCCGGGCTCTGTTGGCCGCTTCCATCTCCTCGTAGTCCATGTAAGCTATGGCTTTCTCGAGGAGGGAATCGAATGTCCGGGGTGGTTTGATGCATATGGCCTTTCTGAATTCTGTTCCCGGGAGGAGTCCCCTCTCGAGCATGTATCTCTTCATGTGATCGGTGCAGGGGACCTGGATGGCCTCCCGATTGAACCGATCAATAAATTCCCTCAGGGTCTCGTCCTGTCTCTAGACGATAGCCTCGAGGGCTGCTTCGGTCTTCGGGTGACATCGCGAAGCAGTGAACAAACTGATGAATTAGTTCTTCAAATTTCACCAGGAGGTAATTGACTCTGGGGTGAGACTCTTGTACCAGTCTATCGTAGCTTTCCTCAAAATCGTGGGGAATAACTGACATTTGATTGGTCCCCCGACATTATGGTAATGCAGCATTTCCTCGAACCCATCTATGTGGTCGACCGGGTCTGCAATGCCGTCGTACTCTTTAAGATGGGGAGGCTTCTCCATGCCCGGGGGGATGGGTGCCTCCATGATGGCTTGTGATAAGGGACCGCGGGGGTTTTCTTCGTCACTCCTATTTAGCGAGCGAGAGGGAGATCTATTGTGATGGTTGTGGCGGCCCTGGTCGCGTGGAGCGTTCCTTGGGCGGTATGGCCGTTCGTTATTTCCCCTGTTTCTGTCTCCAGGGGGTCTTTATTCCTGACGCGAGGGGACGTGATCGCGTCTCCCCGTGTCAACGGGCTGGTCCCTCTCCAACACGGGGCGTCGCCCAATTTTTCAGGGAAGAGGACTTCGAGAGACGTCTCGCCTACGTCTCTGCGGGGGAGATTAGGGAAGTTCCTCTACTTGGAGAGGAGGAGGAGACTGGGGCCTCCTGTGTCTTCTAGGGGCTCTCCGAGCATCTTCGAGCGCGAACAGTGCCCTGGTCGTGGCGCCTGCTCCGGCGGGAACGGGGACCTCATGGAACTAGGCGGTCTGATAGCTCTGAGGAGGTGGCCGATCGTCTTCAAGTCGTGGAGGTATTGATGATGACGAGGCAGTTGCTCCGTCTCTATAGTCAGAAGGCCCAGGCATATTAACGATGGGGGTCGTGTTGTGGTCGGCAGTACCTGCATTGTTGATCCCGGGATCGTCGGCGACGTTGTTATTGACATCGACGATGCAGACGTTCATGTTGTTTTCTACTGTTGGATCAGCTGTGACAGTCAGAAGAGTGATTTAGCTTTAGTCTTGAATGAACGGAAGACGGGGAAGCAAGTTTCTCACAGATGACGCCACTGATCGTACCTGACCAGAATGAACCGTCACAACTGGCTCGAGCAGATGTTGAGAATGATGTGTGTGTGTGGGGGGGGGGGGAGGGGCACCTACAAGACACTCCGACGCCAAAATGAGTTTGGGAATGAGCAAGTAAGTATGAAAGTTTAGAAAGTGTTGAATACCTGACCCTCTCAGAAGAGAGAATATTTATAGCCCCCAACATTGAGTCAAGGTTCCCATTATTGGGCCACATTGAGGCCTAATAATGGGAACTGCCGAAGCTTACATGTGTATGGAGTCCAGCAAATGAACTCCCCCTCCCCTGGTCAACTGCTCCGTGAGAATATGAGTTGGACCCGTGATTTCCTGAGGACAGTTAAGGTGATTGACCTGAGGGCGTGGGTCACGTTCCCCAACGAATATGTGGGGAGTTGCCCAACAGTCTCCAACTTGAATTATCTGTTCTTTAGGCCTTACGATTTGGGCCTCCTATGCGAGAGACAAGCGTAGGCCCAATCCAAATTAATATATATATATATATATATATATATATATATATATATATATATATATATATATATATATATATATATATATATATATATATATATATATATATATATATATATATATATATATATATATATATATATATATATATATATATATATAATTTTTTATTTTATTTTCTAAAAGATATTTTGATATATTTGTCATATTTTTATTGGAGAAAAGCATGAACTACAATTATAAAATTATATCTAAATATTTTCTATAAAAAAAACACAAAAAAAATTCAATTATAGTGCAAATCATGCCGTATTAACATACAATCATAAATTTTTTCCAAAAGCCAGCAAATCTAAGTAAAACAGAAATAATAATTAGTAAAATTATGCAAGATTTCTTTTAACAGAATATTAATAATAAAGTAACTTATAAACAACATATATTAGTTTAGTATGCTATTATAAATGCAATATATATAATCAATATAAATAAACTAATTTTTTACTATTTAATTAACACATAATCAGCCAATAAAGTCACATAACTAAAACACTAATCATAAAACATATGTTTCTCATTATAATAAATTCAGAGAGGTAATTTAATTAAAGTCAAATAATATATTACCTATTTTTATTCAGTCACAAAAAATATAAATTTTAAGAAAACGGTAGAAGTACAATTATTAATAACTATTACAACACCCATAGAGAAACAAAAAACTATTATCAACAACTATTTTTAAAAAAAAACAAATAAGCAAGTTTTTTTTTAAAGTACATTTCAAAAAGAAAAAGAAGATCAACATATACACAATAGACAAAAATCAAAATACAAGCACAATCATATGCACAATCATGTATATAATTATTGCATAACATTTATTCTCAATCATATATATAATATATTTTTGTAAGATTTGTTTTATAATATCATATTATATGTTTTTTTATTTGATATGAATGATGAAAAATTGATCTCTTATAACATATAGGTACGAAGAATTTGAAGATATAAATTGATGTGTAATGATGTGATAATATTTTGATTATGCTCGTAAAAATAAAATTAAATTTTTATTAAACTTATAATTCAATTTAAAATAAGTTATAATATTTTGTTTTTCCAAATTTTTAAAGTGAATATATATTTCAATAACATCTCAGATAATTTTTTTTTGAAATATTACAATTTTATTAGTTTAGCTATTAAGTAAATTTAACTATTACCTTTACTTGTGTCTACGTAGTATTAATGTAGTAGTCACTAAATTTTATTTGTATATATGTAATAGTTTATTTGTGTATAAAAACAACTTTCTAAGCAAAAAAAGTTAGTAGAATTTAATATACAATTTTTTCTTCAACAAATTATTATGATAGCCCTCTCTTCTTTTTTCTCTCTTTCATATTTATTTTTATTTTCAATCTTTATGCACCAACAATCATAAACTTTCAAATTTTTTTATATTTAAATAATTTAAAGATATTCTTTTATTAGCTAATATTTGACAGGTGGGATTCTCATTAGAGAATCTGCTCCAATTTATTGTTATTCTTAATATTTAAATTTAAAATAGATTTAATACCCTTTTTAAATTTAGTATATTAATACTAGAATTCATTTTATTCTCTTAATTAAAGTTTATATTAATTCCTTAAAATTTTAAATTGTATTATATTAATTTTCTTTGTCCAATTAACCATAAATTTTAACGAGTAAATTGAGTTTTTTCGTCTCAATTTAATGAAAATATTAATATTTCATTTTGAAGAATTTTAAAATCAATTTAAACCTTTTATAAAATAAAAGATCAAAAATGAATTTGAAGTTATAGTACGGAAATCAATATTAAACCTTTAAAATAAAATATAATTCCTAAAATTTAAAACAAACGCCCCTTTAGAAATTAATATTAAACCTTTAAAATAACATATAATTCCTAAATTTAAAACAAATACCCCTTTAGAGATAGTAAAACATTTTGCTTTGTATTTTAATTTCAGAATCATAAATAAGCAGTAATAATAAAATGATATAAAACAAACCCATAAGCCACGTGGCAAGCACAGTTGCATATTCATTTTCTATAAATAGAAGCATCTTCACTTTCATTCACAAGCACCGCTCAACCATTAACAAAAAATCTCTTACACTTTCTCACAGTTTAATAGAGAAAAGAGAAAGAAGAATCTCCTTTTTCTTTCTTCTTCTCTAAATCAGCATAATCTTTTATTCTTCATTTCATTTTTGTTAATCAATTAATTACGCTGTTTCAGAAATGTTTATCGAGAATTTCAAGGTAGAGAGTCCAAATGTGAAGTACACAGAAACTGAGATTCAATCTGTGTATAACTACGAAACCACTGAAGTCGTTCATGAAAACCGAAATGGCACTTATCAATGGGTTGTTAAACCTAAAACTGTTAAATATGAATTTAAAACCGAAACTCATGTTCCTAAATTGGGGTTAGTTTCTTTATTATACTTCATTTAATCTAATTTGATTCAATTTTTCATTTTTTCTGATTTATTTATTGGTTGATTTTGGTTTATTTGTTAGGGTAATGCTTGTGGGATGGGGTGGAAACAACGGTTCTACCCTTACCGGTGGTGTTATTGCTAATCGAGAGTTAGTTTCTTAAATCTTGATTTAGGGTTAATTAACATTGATTATGATTGTGATTATGATTGTGATTGTGATTGTGATTATTATTATGATTATGATTTATAGGGGTATTTCATGGGCAACGAAGGATAATATTCAACAAGCCAATTACTTTGGTTCTCTTACTCAAGCTTCTGCTATTCGTGTTGGATCTTTTCAAGGAGAGGAAATTCATGCTCCCTTCAAGAGTTTGCTTCCAATGGTAAAAAAAATCCTTCTTTTTTATTTATTTATTGGCTTAATTGGACTGAATCAATTGAATCAATAAAGGTGTTGTTCAATTGTTTAAATACTACCATGTTATGATGTAACGATCTTGACACTATCTTGACGATACCGGTAATAATTTGAAAAAATAAACGTGATCACAACTGTCGTTGCTACATAGGATGTACTAATACAATTAAAATGGAAATAACGATCATCTCACTTATTAATTGCTCATTTGTTATGGATTATTAAGAAAGCGATTTTGATATTCAATAATTTTGAGAGATTTTAAAGAAAAGCAGAATTGTTGTGTTTGTTTATTATAAGGAAAGTCACTTTTATAAAAAGTCAGTTATCAAAAATGATTTTTTTAAAGCGAAATTGCTCAGACCAACTTTTTATTTGAAGTGATTTTTAGATTATTTTCAGATTCCACTAAAATAAGCTGTAACAAAAAGGCTGTAAATTTTCTATTCTTAACAGTCTTGTTTTGGTGATGTAACTAAATGATGAATTTAGTGTTATTTCCATATATTACTTTGTTTAGTATTTTATTATCAGTCTAAGCATACTATAATTGAAGCTTTTGATATGTGACATTTTCTTAGTTAAAATATAAAATTAGAGTCCAAGATGATTTGAATTAAGTATGATTAACTTATTTTTGTTGAAAACTATATGCAGGTCAACCCTGATAACATTGTTTTTGGTGGATGGGATATCAGTAACATGAACCTTGCTGATGCCATGGCTAGGGCCAGGGTTTTCGACATAGATTTGCAAAAGCAATTGAGGCCTTATATGGAATCCATGGTTCCACTCCCTGGTATCTATGACCCGGATTTCATTGCTGCCAATCAAGGTGAACGTGCAAATAATGTTATTAAGGGTACAAAGAGAGAACAAATTAACCAAATTATCAAAGATATTCGGTATGTCTTACTTTAATCTACATGTTTTTTGGTTTATATTTATGAACTTTACCTGAGCTAGCTTAAAATTTGCTGATCTGCTCCTTTGTTGACATGAATTCAGGGAATTTAAGGAAGTAAACAAAGTGGACAAGGTTGTTGTTCTCTGGACTGCCAACACAGAGAGGTACAGTAATTTAGTTGTGGGACTCAATGACACAACAGAGAACCTTTTTGCTGCTGTGGACAGAAATGAGTCTGAGATTTCTCCTTCCACCCTGTTTGGAATTGCTTGTGTTATGGAAAATGTTCCTTTCATCAATGGAAGCCCTCAGAACACTTTTGTTCCAGGGCTTATTGATCTTGCCATCAAGAACAACAGTCTGATTGGTGGTGATGACTTCAAAAGTGGTCAGACCAAAATGAAATCTGTTTTGGTTGATTTCCTTGTAGGAGCTGGTATCAAGGTGCGGTACATTATTCTTTATATGATTGCCATATATCATGTGTTTATTTCCTTTTATGCTGATTTAATTTAACTATGGCAACATGGAAAGAAATTTGAAGTTTCTTGTTGATAATTGCAGCCAACATCAATAGTGAGTTACAATCATCTTGGAAACAACGATGGTATGAACCTCTCAGCACCACAAACCTTCCGCTCCAAGGAAATCTCCAAGAGCAACGTTGTTGACGATATGGTCAACAGCAACGCTATCCTATATGCGCCTGGTGAACATCCTGACCATGTTGTAGTCATTAAGGTAATTCTCGTTTCACAATTCTTTCTAAGATTCTATATATTGTTACTTTTTCAGGTATTTTATTGTCTTTACTTTGGTGACTTTTTGCAGTATGTGCCATACGTCGGAGATAGCAAGAGAGCCATGGATGAGTATACTTCAGAAATATTCATGGGCGGAAAGAACACTATTGTGTTGCACAACACATGTGAGGATTCCCTTTTGGCGGCCCCTATTATCTTGGACTTGGTTCTTCTTGCTGAGCTCAGTACTAGAATTCAGTTCAAATCTGAAGCTGAGGTCTGTATGCAATGCTAATTAATTTCATTCATTGATTGTACTAGTCTGTATATTATTTCTGAGATTAACTATCTTGCGGTTCTTGCAGAACAAGTTTCACACATTCCACCCTGTTGCTACCATCCTCAGTTATCTGACGAAGGCTCCTCTGGTGAGTTCAATCTATCTGATTCAATGTTTGAATACATACATATACACTGAAATCCAGATTCAAGAAACAAATTCAGTTATTATAATGTTATATTATTATTCTTGCAGGTTCCACCAGGTACACCAGTGGTGAATGCGTTGTCCAAGCAGCGAGCGATGCTGGAAAACATCATGAGAGCTTGTGTTGGATTGGCTCCAGAAAACAACATGATCCTTGAGTACAAGTGAAGCAGGGGATAGAACATAGTTGGAATTTTCAAGCTGAATCATAAAACTTGCTCTTTTCTTTTTTTCTTCTTTTGATGTTTGCTGATGTTTTCTCAAGTGTAGTATTTGATTTGATAGTCTATGCTCTCAAGTGCTTTAGAGCTTGAATGTTTTGCGTACATGGAAATATATAAATATTTGTGCTCAGTTGGTGTTTATCCCTCTATTCTATATTTTCTTATAGTATTTCTAATTTAACAACCTGTTTACTTGATCAAAACGAATATTGTTGTAAAGGAGAACATAGGTACTCTAACACAAAATACAAAGAAAAGTCATATTAGAAACGATAGAAGCAGTTCATAGAACAAACACAACAGTTGAATGTATTGATTCTCATCAAAAAGGGGACCATTTAAGGCTTTTCATTTTTTATAAATAATAATCTAAGTAATCACGTGTATTCATTCCTTTAACTCTTATTACACCTTTTGAATACATATTCCTCAAAATGGCTTGAAAAGTTGTGATCAAATCACTCTGCATGCACTAAGTGTTCCATTTTCGTTGGTCCAAAATAAGATATTTTTTTTTGCCTCCAGCCTAACCTTACAATTATATATATATATATATATATATATATATATATATATATATATATATATATATATATATATATATATATATATATATATATATATATATATATATATATATCCCCGACAACAACAAGCTTTCACGATGGTTTAGCTGTGAAATAACTAGTGAAAGAGGATATTTATAATCCCCAACGCTAGGTCAAGACCTTCGTTATGGGCTGAAGATTCAGTCCCACAACGAACGACTGTCAGAACTCACGCGTGTGAAGTGGAGCACCTCGTGCCCATGATCCTGGTTCAACTGTCGCGTCTTCTTCGAATAGCGGAGGACCAGTTCTTCATAGAGAGCAAGTCGCCATTTTTCTGTAGCGGTAGCGGAGGACCAGTTCTTCATAGAGAGCAAGTCGCCATTTTTCTGTAGCGGTAGAAATGTTCAAGACTAAGTCATTGGATTGACTAGCCTTTATACAAATTAAAATAAAAATCGCCACCACACTTTATTGTTTCCAAAAGAATGGGAAAAGAGCGAATAACCCAAAAAAGGGGGAAAGATTCAAGGTAAGGGGGTTGGTTATGCAAAGGGAAGGTATTAACACCCTAAACATCTACGGTACTCCGCAGGAACCTCTTTGTAAAATCTGTATATTTTGGCTATAAAAATGTGTTGTATATAAAATGGATAGTGGAGGTGAGAAAAGAAGTATTTTTTTATGATTTTTGCACCTGCCGCGGTTGCGAACCTTTAGTGCCTACGTACCACCTTTCGTGCAATAGGGGATCAGGGTACACATAGTTTCTCTTTTAAAAATTTGAAACACAAGTGTGTTGGTTGATTTTAAGAGATAAGACATCATCGTCATTGTCCGTGTGGAAAACATACTTACTACCCACAATCATGAGAAAGGAGAATTTGCGTCATCTCAAAGTGGAGGATAATGGCTTGGATTTTAAAATCAACAATGCCTCACTCAACCCCCAAGTGGAAAATATCTCACTTCACTACATATTGTAGAAGTATAGTTGTTTGCATCACTACAAGGATTGACAAGAGTCTAACCTTTTTTAAGAAAAGTTTAAAGATAAAAGCCAAAGTGGCAAAATGGTTTGAAATAAGATTGGTTGACTTTTAGTCTTCTCACAAAAAGGGTCAAAATATTTATTAAATTGATTGAAGTTTATTTATGAATATTTTTTTGAAAATGCATGGACCTAAGTCCAAGTTTATTATGAAAGTGTTTAAGTTTCAAAACAAGAAGGGTTTTCAAAAGGAGGGAGAAGATTTTTGAAATTAAAGAAGATGGGAGGAGAAGAAGAGGCTATCCTAAAGCATAAGGTAAAAACTAAAGATAAGGACCATCTAACCAACAAGAAGCCAAAACTTGACATTATGAGCCAAGATAGAATTTCCATTCTTTGGAGTGAAACCAAGCAAGCAAAGATACTAGACCTCTTCAAATGTATTAAGTCTTCATAAAAATTGGGCAGAGTAACGACTGTATGCGGGTGCATTCCAGATTACAAATAAAGGATGTAATCACCAAAAACCTGCACACAAAAACAAACAAGCAACCCAATGTCTTGAGGTAAACCTCAAGAACTCCATACAAAATAATCAGATAATATCACAAGGTCTCCAAGATAGGCCATGATTTCTAATCCCAAGTCCAAGAAATAGTCCATTGCTCCATAATGCCAAGGATAATAACCAAATAGTCCAAGTACCATTAAAGAGTTTTTTAGGGTTTAAGTTGGTTATTAAGTATCTTAGGAAAAGGAAAAAGAAAAGCTCAAGTGAGCAAAGTAAAAATGACAAGAAAATAAATGCTTAAATGAGCAAAGATGAAAATGACATGAAATGTAAAATGCTAAAAAATAAATAGTGCATAAAGCATAAAAGAATAAAAGCATAAAATAAAACAAGTCAATAATTAGTGGTTAGTTGGATGACCATCTAGAAACTTGCATTTGGAACTCATTAGAGGATTGGTAGAACCAAAGCTCCACACAACAAGTTGCATTTGCTTTTTGTCAAGTATATCATCCATTTGGAATTCTCACAAGTGCCATTTAATGATCAACGATGTTTAAGTGATCCGCGTTGACCAAAGGTGTTGTAGATCCATTAGAGGATTGGTAGAACCAAAGCCTTCACACAATGAATCTCAAGGTTATTGGATCAAAGAGATCAAATTAACATACTTGAGCTTGCAATCATAAGTTTGGGCCACGAATGATCATTTATTCGAATTGGGACAAAATTTAGCGCTATGTTAAGCAATCGTAAGTGGACTTATATAGAAGTCCCATCTATTTTGAGGCCGGTCAATAACAATCTATGCACCATTTGTTTTGAGGCATGATATAGAGATCATGCTCCAACAGTATTTAGTGCAATGAGAAGGGGATGAGATGAAGGAGATTTAGGGTAAAAAGGAAAACCACATTTGAATTAAAAAATTTAATCAAACTATTATTAAAATCATTCATCCATTTTGGTGGAGTTGAACTCAACACCCAAGATCCAATGATGTTAATAAAGCCATGATAAAAAAAAATCAACCCAAGACAGCCAGAAAATAATCACAAAAATTATATATAGTTAATATATACATTAAAAGGTTTAAAAATGTTAAAATAAATTAGAAAATAATGAGGAAAATATCAACTATGTTCAAATTATTTAAGAAATGAAAAATTAAGCCATAGAAAAATCAGAAATGGATCCAAATATTTTTATAAAAAATTTAGTAATTTTAAAAATTCAGAAACTATTTTTAAACTATTTAAAATTGCTAAAACAAACATAAAATAGATAAAAAATAGTAAACCTCAACATAAAATTCCATAAAATTTTCAGAAAGTCAAAAATATGCAAAATAATATTTATGAATTTTTCAGAATTAAAAAATGTTAGAAAGTATTTTTTAAGTAATTAAAAGAAAGGAAATAATACAAAAAATATAAAAATACCAAATATTAAAATAAAAATGTAAAAAAATATTCATGAGATCAGAAATAATTCAAAGTATTTTTTGTGAATTTTTCATGATTTTTGGATAAAAAATAAAAGAGTTATGAATTTTTGAAATTTTAATCAAATAAAATATAAAATCAGAAAATAAAATAAAACCAAAAAGATGTGGAGCATCAGATCAAAGTCAAAACGCGTCAGTAAGCTAATCCAATGGACCAGACGCGTTGTGCTTGATATGGACCTTAGTGAAACACACATGTGCTCAGAAAAAGGGCAACCAATAAAATTAAAACACTTGGCACGCTATCATTGGCTGAGACGAGACATGTCATCGTCTTCAACCTCCAGACACCCTGCAATGAGGATTTTGTGAGATCCTTCAAATGGAAAAATTAGGATCCCTGGCTAGCATCATTGAACTCGTCTCTTCAAGACGATTCTAACACAACCATCGCGCCAAATTTATGTAAAATATGGAGAGAGATATGAATCAAAACACAAAAATAGCGAGCACCTTCAATTTGATATTTCTCTCTCAAATATCAATGGATTTAAAAATTATAAACAACATTAGAATCAAACAAAGGAGTAGAACAGATTAGTGCTTGATTTGGATCCAATTGGTGGAGAATTCTACCTTTTCGAAGTTCAAGTAAGAAGCTCTGAAACTAGACTTTTGTAGCTTGGATTATGGATCGTTTTGATTAGTTTAAGTGCTGGAGCGTTTGTATGAAGTTCAAGGATGATGAATGCGCAAATAATTTTGGAAAAGGAAGCTTAAATTTCAAAAACTGAATTCAACAAAAGTGGATTCATGTGAAGTTTTGACAGGGTGTTCTTTGTTCTCTAAGCTTGGGAAATTGAATGGGGGATGACCCTCTATTTATAGGGAAGCAAATGGGATCAAAAGGGATAGCAAATGATGCGTTTTGGAGGGAATTCGTGTGGGTCTGCATCATGAAGAAAGTGTGACTCAAACTTGATCAAAACTCAGCCAAATCGTGTGTTTCATGTTGCTAATCACTTATGGCAAGTTTCTAAACATGATTAGAAACGAAAACACGTGGAAATCCTGTGATTAGAAGCCAAAACAAAGATTTCAAAATTCTGACTTTGTGCAAAATTCAGTTTCAAACTACCAAATTCAAATCTATGGAATTTCCACCTCAAGGGGTCTTAGGGCAATTCTTGATGCTTTTGAAAGACGAGATTACAAGATTTGCAATGGAAAAATAATGGAATCAAATGGATGCTTGAGCTGAAAGTTACATGGAGTCAAAGTTGAAGAAAAAGAGTTGACTTTCCATACTTCGAAAAATTTCAAACTCTTCTTTAAAAATGACCTATAATTTCTTGCATCCAAATATGGCCTTCCACTTAGAATTTTCTCTTGACAAAAAAATATGTGTTGTACCCCAAAATTTTCCCTCCCATTTTATCAAGATTTC